AGTTAATAGTTGAATAAAAATATCGGATAATTTAATGGTTGAAAATTTCAGTAAATATTTTTATTCAATTACAAATTGAATATATTTCATACGTATGCTAAAAAAAGTCCACACGGACCAGACAGCAGACGGGACTCGAACCCTCACTCTTCGCTATCCGGGCGAATGCACTGACCATTATGCTACAGCGGCCCTGACGGCCGTGTTGAATTTTCTCTAGCCTTTCTTAAGCTGCAAGGCAGCGCCATCTCTTCGCATTGTACATAGCTCACAATGTCAAATGAATACATTTACAAGTATTAAACATTTGAAAGAAGAAATAGCAATTATAGTTATATTTTTTATAGCATAATGGTCAGTTCATTCGCCCGGATAGCGAAGGGTCGAGTCCAGGCAGCAGAATCTGCGTGGAAATTTTTCTAGCAAAATTTTCTTTAGATTTAAACATCCAGCAGTTACATGCTTCAAAAATATAACTATTATGATTTATTGTCAATTTTTTTATTAGTTCGTTCTGTAATTGAAATTATTCATTACGATAATTTTATCGGTCGGTCACATTTATCTAGGCGAATAAATATTACTCTCGCGTGTTGATTTTACAACATAATTATGATATGGTTGAAAATATTTATCGAATATATATGTATTAACTTTTTTTATTAGTTTAACGGTTGATAAATATATTCAACAACACTGATCCCAACCTTTAAACGGCTATTTATCCCGATAGCTTTTAATCTTCTAAGACTGCTTTGCCACCAGGTTCCTCTCCACATGCTTTATTATATTTTTTTAATGCGGGGTAATCATATAGTAACGCGGCCGACGCGGCCAGGAGGGGATAAGGCCCGGAGCACATTGGCGGCACGGTACGGCATGGGATCCTTCGGCATCCCTACATGTAAGCGCACACTGGCGGTAACAATGCCGTGGTATCCTTAGGTATGCCTCGACGTCCTCAAGCGTTCTGAGGCGTCCTTAGGCATACCGAGGCGTCCTTAGACACAACCTTTCACAACAGTGTTATCTCTTCTTCAGAACAGTCTTAACGCAAGCTTGTTATACATGTGAGTATTTATAATGGTAGAATGGGACCTAGTTCTCATAGCAGTTCTTGCTCAAGAAGAAGAGAAAACTATACAATTAAAGAGAAGATTTGGGCGGGCGCTGTCTTGTCTTGTCGCGGTATCGTTCGGTATCCCGAAGACGGCCATAGCGTCGAATCGGCGTTCCGAAGGATGCCGACACGGCATGCCTAAGCATCCCACGGCTTCCCTTCAACATTGAAATTTCAACTTTATTTTCATACTCTTTAGTTATATTTTTATTCGTCGCCTAAAAATACCCTGCCATGCCGTGCCGCCAATGTGCGCCGGCGCTAAGGCATTCACAGCATTTCCCTCTGTCGATTTTCCCCCGCTGTTGGGCCAGCCCAAAATACAAAAGTAGTTACGCGTCGGATATTTCACTAGACTGAGTCTAATCGCACGAGTGAATTTTAGTGATCAAAATTGCCTAAATGTTATGTAATTTGCTGTAAAACATATCTGGAATTGGAAACTTACAAAAGGATGGTTTTAAATTTCACATATAAGTAGAATTATTAATATATTATTTCTATTTAACCACTTTTAAACACAAAATTCATATTATTTTATTAAAATTCAATCGTCGGACTTGTTTGACAAAACAAACGGCTCGCCAGTATTTCATGTCTGTCAATAAAAAATCATAAGTTTCATCTATGCCCGATTTATTCTCTGAATAAGGAAACCTATGGAACTGCCATACCTACGAAAAAAACGTGCATACCTACGCAGCTAAACATGGCGGCTTAGTGTTGTATACTACCACGATGGTATTTAACACTTATCGATTGTGCTATATCTATCGATAAAACTTATAATATATTATATTTATACGTTATATTTTAGCATCTAATTATCAGCTTTTTATGTGCAGTTCGTTACCTCCTTTTTAGTGAAGGAAAACATTGTAAGAAAATCAGCAAGTATAGAGATTTAATACTAGCAATATTTAAAAATCAATTCGGTTGATTCGGGGATTATATTCAATACCACTAGTAAGGTGGTAGGGTTCACCAGTACCCATGCTGTACGCGTTGTGAGGAATCAAAGAAATGTTAAGCAGGAATCCAGTATAAATAGTTTTACAGAAACGCATTATACAGACTATTTAACACGATGACGTATATCAGAATAGAAAAAAGGAGATAAAATAGGTAGGTATTGAAATAAGTAGGTGTTATAAGTATAAAAATCTGTATTTATTTATTTACATTCATCAGTTTAACATTATTCATTTCTAAAAAGAACAATTTTGTTTAAGTAATTTCTAAACGAATTTTTTTCCGTACTTTTCCTTCCAAAATATCTAAACCTTATATCAATATATGTTTTAATTGCACTCTTTATTAATAAATATTTATGATTGGCATCATGATCGCTCGAATCAGTCTCAAAACCTTGATTATTTTCGCCATAAATTTCGATGAGAAAAGAAAAAGTACACAAATAATATTTCTCAAAATTTGTTTTCTTAAAATTAAATTTTAAAATTTTTTCTGTCTTTTTACAAACGTCTTTAGACGGATTCACGAGGCCACCTCGATTTTTATATGCTATCAATGACTGCTTTCACATTGCCAAATAACATTGACGCACAAGTTACACATTTTATGGTGCGAGATAATTTTCTGGCTACAAAGCCTGCAATGTACGTCACAACACTTTCTGCATATTTTGTGACATTATTATTAAGGCAGTCTAGGTATTCGAAGGTACTTCATCATATTTTAATCTTATAACATCCAATGTATGGTTAAATGAGTTTGGATGAAAATGTAAAGAACATAAGTAAATATGTTTTAGATCTATTTTTAAATTTTCTTTTCCAATGACCTCTAGCCAAATTCTTTTTTTTGTTTTTACTTACTGGCAGTCTGAAAACAAAAATAAATCAAAAAATTAACAAATTAGATCTTTTTCTTTATTTTATTAAATGTCAATTTGATATCGGAAGCATGGATTTTTTTATACGCACACTTTACTCGAGAGAAACAAGGATCACTTAATTATTGCTTCTCTTGAGGAGTGTGAATTGAATGTAAATTAATCAAAAGGAAAAAGTGTTTCATGTAAGAAAATATCGATAAATCGTTCGATATAACAAAACATCACTACAGTCAAAACAAAATACAATATAAACCAAACCGAAATATATTTTTTAGGAAAAATACATACTCAATTACTCTAGAAACTATACTTTAAATGATTTTAAGTGTCCTTGACTTGATTGCACGGCTCAAAACACTAATAAATTTTAAATAAATGCTTACCGGTAAAATGTTAAATTTGACCGATTTCTGCTTATTTTTGCACCACAATTTATTATGCTAGATGCTACTGGATTTCGACCGGAGTTAACCACGATCGAGATCTGTGACGTCACACGTTTCGGCCACTGGTGAATATTGGCCATACCATAAAATAATTTATAAAATCGCAAGGAATGAACTGATATCGATGTTTTAAAAAGTACATATATTAATTTTAAAGCATAATAGATCATTATACCGTTGATTTTGAGTTAATTTGCTGATCTAGTAATGATCCTCAATGAAGTATATTGGACTACATTTGTGTGCATATTCCTCCCACAGATTCCTCCCCCCGCAAAAGCGGTAGAATGATTTCAGTAGTATTATGTCATTCTGGCTACTCCCCAAATAGCCGCGTCGGTTGTGTTGTTCTATAGTGGTAATTTATTTGCAAAAATTAGACGTGTGTGTCCATGATCGAATCTGCAGCCAAAAACAAACATCACCTACATCACAGACGAAAAATGTAATGTTTTTTAACATTCAGTAACGTCTAAATAAACATATACAGGTATATTCGAGTTTTTTTTTAATTTAATGCTAGTATCCACATGATACCAAGATATAAAATTTATAAAATGGATTAACGAGATTTTTCTTAAAACTCATTTTTTTTAAAGATATTTACTATAAACTTATGACATATTTGCGAAGGTGGTATTACCCTTTTAGTGGAATAATCTTTTATCACCACCACCTTAGTTTTAAAAAGAAAAAGTATTTGAATAACCTTTTTATTTCGTGAGGGTTGGGAGTTGTTGTTTGGCTACACCCCAAGTTCCAAATAATGACACACCACTTATAAAGGGTAATGTTGCTTTTATATTGCGACGATGTAACAACTCACTAACAATAACAATCATCCAGTGGTTTATATCTGTAAGGTTTTTTAATTTGATATTGAATAATTTAGAGGAAATATTTTATTATTATTTTTTTACAGAAACTGAACACTTTTCATTTAAAAGATATTATATTATTATAATAATATTTATGAATTCACTCACTCATTGCATCTTGCTTGCAGCTAAAGTGGTTTTATTCCAATTTGATACATACAAAGTACAAACAGACTTTTCCACTGACTAATAATCAATACTCGATTGTAACTGAAAATCTTATTTTACTTTTCCATGTAAATTTTTGGTTTTTTAATGCTTTTAATATGAAGCCGTCTATTGATCACATACATTGAGGAATCAATACTATTTGGATAAAAACATATTTTTCCTGAATGATTCGTCAACGTAAAGTCGTACGTCGCGATATTTATGCTATTCAGACATTAGATTTCTATTTACTTTTGATGATATATCTGTAAAGAAGGGATTAGCTTATGTAGGAAAAGGACAGAATTTGATTGGTTTCCTAAACAATACGTAGACAATATATGGTATAGGAAACCAATCAAATACTATGTAGATGAAGTTGCTTGCATCGTCTAGTAAGTTCTTTAAAGTTAAAAGATAGGCAGGCTTTTTTTATGCCTGTCTGCCTCTTGAAAAATGTTTCCACTATAAATACTTAGGTACTTTTTCTATAACGACGAAAAATTCTACGATATTTATTTATTTAAATAAATCTTACTCTTCCCCAGATTTGTCTACGGCCCGTAGGTCCGAGCCGTACTACGGTCGCCTGATAGGCCGCCTCACTCAGTACGCGCACGGCATACGAGGCACCGTGTACGCCGTGGACGAGAGTACTGTGTTCGTACGCGGGTTCGCGTACGACGGAACTGGACCCGACGCGTACTTCTGGGTCGGTGACACGCCCCAACCTTCGCCAGAGGGCATCCTGGTGCCATACCCTGAAGATTACACTACCAGGTAAATACATATTAGTTGTTATATGTTTGGCGACCTCCATCGTGGAGTGGTATGCACACCATAGAGTTCCTGTACGCTCACGGCATACGAGGCACCGTGTATGCGGTAGACGAGAGCTCTGTTACAAAGTAGATAGTACAGAAGTAAAACTCATTTATGTGCATACTTTACTTTTCATACCAACACTCGGCCGTTTACCGGCCTGTGGTATTCACATACTAGGAGATAATTCGAATTCTTTAAGATAGTGTTTTAGATGAGTGCCTTAGTAGAAACTCCTAAACGCTACTTCCATATGTACGTTTTTACTTGCTGTACTACTAGAATCGAAATGGAATCGGTCTTTTTCGTGGAAACCTCCCCCCCACCCTCTAGGTCCCGAGCGTCGCTATTCTCGTTTGGTTTCAGTAGCATGGATTGCGAAAGACACCGTTTCTGTATAGCCTGGACCTTGGATGAGTTGAATTTTTCGAAACGAAAAAAGTTTAAAGAACCGATTAAAATACATAACATTGTTTTCTATTTCAATCATCTGAAACAATTCAAAAACATGTTTTATTCAATGAACATTTAAGTACATTTTGACTCTGAAAGTAGCTGTTCTGCAATATTAGCTTATCAGTATTCACTCAGCACACTAAATAAATTCTTCAAATGTTAACTAGGGTCATAGCACACCACCATCTATATTGATCGTACGCTGTAGATGCGATTTTTATCCACTTTGCCTACATTAGACTTCTACCCTTAAAACTCGTTTTTATGTTCCCCTGGGAACATAACCATCACCTTACAGAAGACCACAATACTATAGCAGTACCTTTTGACGGTGTCGTTTCTTTTGGTTTGTAAAGTTTTATGGCACCACGGGATAGAGGATTGAGTTTAGATTGGCAAGGTGAGGATGATTGGAGCAACACACTTTTCGACTGCATCTTTTGTCTTTGGGACTTTACTTACACTTAACATCTGATGAGGTAAAGTTATTTGCTAAGCTCTACAGCAAACTGGAACCAAATAAATTTGCCACTTTTATGCATATAATTTATTATTTATTGAGATTATATAAAATGATAATCTAGGTACGTTCCAAGCATAATAATATTGACAACATTCAATAAGCTACTTATCTGGTAAGAAAAAGCTTTACTTACTCAATAAAATTTTACTGTTAGTTGTCAATTTTTTGTGGATGTTTTAAACATGGTTGTTTACAACTAAAGTACAGCTGAACTACGATGATTTTTATATTTTACTGGAAAAGATTTTGGAATGAAGTTCCTTTTCGGACGGTACAGACTAGATGTAAAAAAGTATTTTACCGTCACATCACAACACAACCGTCACTTGTTACGTAGCGTATTGTGTGTAGTTGTGTACTTATACTTATGTTTATTTTTTAACTTTTTTCCAACCAAGTTTTCCACCACAAAGCCTACGTTTTTTACTAAAAGGAATTTCACTCCGTCCTGGTGTCAGGCAGCAACTTTTGTACCAAATTTTTTTTTACATTTATGATTCAAGCTTTAATGCTTTTTAAGCATTAAATGAAGAAAGAATATTTGAATTTATTGATATTTTTATAGCTTGGAAGTTTTATCTCTTTGGTAGGGTGCAGAACCTTAGGTGTTACGAAATATGAGCAGTACGTGAGAGCCCGGCGCCGCCGCCGTCCTAAACTGGCAATAGCCAGAGTGAAATACGGCGTAGAAAACATTTACGTTATTTTATGGAGACAAGAAGTTACGGAGTACGAAGAATTCAGTATTTTAATAAAGGTTAAGAAGTTAAAGAAAAAAGTAAAAATTAAAGAGACTTTGTAGGCGTGGCTTATGGGTTTATACCATTATAAATTACAGAATTCTAATATTTACTAAAGTCTTTAAATAAACTACGCACGGGCGCATATAGCGAGAATATATGGGTTCATTGTCGACTTAGGAACTCTAAACCGGCCAAGGCTTTAATTTAAATACTTAGTTAATTGCACGCCAAACTTAAGAGTAAGTTTGATGAATAATAAGAAAAATACATCCGAACAATAATGAATAAGGAAGTTGTTTGGTAATTTAAGAATCCATTACTAAAGACGCGTAAACACCAACAAATTGGAAGGCAATTAGATGTACATTATTAACGGCGGGGTGCCCCTGGCTCGGCGGCATTTTTGGTCTGTCCTAAATGCGGGGGTGGCAAAGTGTACAGAGAACCGCATATCTGATTGCGCAGTAATTTGCAAAAGTTTTTTTTTTGTAAATTATTGATAAGTAATTATAAAATTCAATACTATATACTAAGTTTAGCTTAAAAAAAATGTTTAACAAGATGTCATCTACTATATATATAAAACAAAGTCGTGTTAGTTAGAACATTTGTAACTCAAAAACGGCCGGACAGATTTTTATGGGATCTAATATTTTGGATTCCTCTCCGCCCCGAATAACAGAATTACTAACACTTTATAAATATGTTAAAGTAGGTAAACTTTGAGGATTTAGTCTCTTTCCACTTCCTCGGGAAGTACGGATGTGAATTTTTTAAGCTTCTTAATTCGAATTTCAATTGTCCATATTTGAGTAATTTTAGAAAACTACTAAGAAGGTTATCTCGATAATATAATCGTCATAATATGTGCAATAACTTGAAGTGTTTCGGAGGCGCAATGATTTTACTGCTGGAGTATTCTGATAAATAGTGGCAGTATTATAAAATCGACTACTGCCAATGATATAAACAATCGCCTCAAATTATCGAATCTCACGACAGTTACATTGCTTAAGAGAAGAGGCGTGGTATGTTTTTTCCATACAAACGTTCTCGACTGATTCCTCCTTGATTTTTATCACTGAAGAATTCATTTTCATAGATAAAATATAATTTTGCTGATTCTATGCTCCTATGTCTTCCTTATTCCGATGACTTGTGTTTCAAAGAAACTAGAAGCCCACGAAAGAGGCCTAGAATAAACAAATTTTTATCATCACTAAAGACGTCTAGTGCGATGGTTTAATAAGCATTTCCAAAGAAAATCAAAACATAGAGGCATAGTATACAAAATATATAAATAACAATAATAATAATAATATATAAATATATATTTACCTACTTATTATTCTTTGTGTATTTTTTTTTTACATATATCTAATTTTCGAAGATGACATCGTCGAGAGCAAAACCTCATATTTTGTAATTTTTATACACAATTTTCAGCGTTAACTAGTATGGTCCCTATCACACGGTATTTGCTAATGCGTGACAGCAATAGTTTTAAATATCTATTTCTCAAATGTCTCTCAGCTCGCATCCGCTCTTAACGCTCGATCTGCTGAAGATTTTTCCAAGCAATTACTGACTATCATTTCCTCCAAATTACTGTAAATGGTCTCATCTGAAAGTAAGCTATTTAACAAAATATACAATAGCATCCTTTTCAATCAAAATATAAAAAAATCGTTAAAAGAATGGGTCTTTTCAGATGGCTAAGAAGACAGAGGATGATTTAAGCTTCTTATTTCAGTAACACGTGGTTTGTACTCCACATTCATTGTAAAACAAACAAATTCGTAGCCACTAATGATCGGATTGACTTTTAAACTCCTAGAGAAGTATCAGGCTGTTGTCTCCTAAAGAAGTCATCGATGTTTATTTAACTTTTCTTAAATTCTTTTTATTTCATAATTTGAAGGAAGTAGCCTACGCTTTACAGAAGACCACAGTAAAATCACACTACATTTTGATAATATCAGTGTCGCAAATAGTTGAGTATGGTTTTCAACGCTCTACGGGGTAACGAACATGTAAAACACAGGTTTTACTTATTACCTGTTAACCCGCAGGGCTTAACAGGGTTAGAAACGATGTAACAGTACATGTGTATAATACCTAGTATCACCGGCGTCAATAGGCTGAGCGGTATCAACCGATTGCACAGAAAACCACACATGAGATTGCGTATAAATAGTAAAAAAAATGGAGTATTTTCTGAAATTTAAAAAAACTCAAACACACGAAAGACTACAACTGAATTAAAATACTTCTGATATACTATAAAATAGTATTTTCGTATGTACTTCAGCCAGGTTTTTATAGCTGTCTCTGAAGTTTCAGACATTTAGGTCTAAACTGCGGATATTATTTGGCTGACCGCTTCCCCATTTGCAACCCTAGTGGTACTAACAAACAAGTTATGACTGTTGTTGTCTCACGCACGCCTTCCTGCGCGACGAAGCTCTAATAAGTGCTTTTTGCGCTAAAATTAGCGTTCGAAATTTGGTTATTTCTATCGTAATGAGCTCTCGAGCTGCGTGACGATAGACGCTAGACGATAGCTTGACTGGCAGTTTTGACACACATTAAAGGTCGAGAAATTTGTATTTGCAGGTGAAGGTAGGCTACAATCACGTGATTGTAGCCTACAATCACGCATTTACTTCCAAAAACTTGTACGATACTTAAGGCGATTTTTTTTTCTCTTTATTTAAAGGACTTTTATCTTTACAGACATGTCAGTCCCATCGTGTATTTATATAAATTAACAAATCATCTAAGCCAATTAACGTAATATGTTATTGCCGGAAGAAAGTCGCGGCAGACATATAAAGCGATACAGCATTCTGGCCTCTTCCGAGACCGGTTGGGCCAGAATGCTGTGAAACACACCAATTTCTGACATATTCAATTTACATTTTTTAACAAACTCTTGTCTCTCATTCTGGTACCGGACACAATCCATCAATAAGTGCTGGAGATCTTCTACAACACAGCATACTTCACAGTTGGGAGACTCAATTTTTTTCATAAGATGTCCAAACTTTTTACATGGATAATGTCCAGAACGAAGTCTATTTAAGGTCACTACAAAGTGTTGACTTAATGTTAAATTAATAAACCACGGTATTCGTAGAGGCTGACTCTGTATGGTTTTATACCATATTCATTTTTCTTTTGATCTTTCAACAAAATATTCTTTCCAGTTAAGATAACAACTCTTTTTATATTTTCACAATGTTTCGGAATAAAATGGTTTCACTGATGCATTTTCACCTTCAATAGATGCTTCTTTTGCTAAGCGGTCAGCCTCTTCGTTGCCGCTAATACCTTTATGTGAAGGGACCCATTGCAGTTTAATAGTTTTGCCACTAGAATTGATTTCGTGAAGTTTTTGAAGTATCTTATAAGCAACCGGCACACCTCTTTTGCCTGACACGCAACGATTTAAATGTTGAATAGCACTTTTGCTGTCTGACATCATAACAATTTTGCAGAGACCTTTATTAATAGAGTATGTAATAGCTTCATGAATGGCAATCAATTCTAGTGACATTACAGATACATCAGTAAGCACCTTAAAACAAGCCTTAGCTCCTTTGCTTGGGCATACATATGCTGCTCCTAGACCAGTTATAGATTTGGATCCGTCTGTGTAAATTTTAGTACAATCATTATATTTTTTATTCAATTCTACTACTACGTTTTGACTGTACCACATTCCAAGATAACGAACGTTCTCTGACAGTGGTATTGGATAATTGTTTATAGTAAGGTCAATATTATGTCTTTTAAAGCCTCTACTGAATAAACAAATCTTTGACTTGGAAGGCGCCAAATCTAAACCGAGTTCTTTCAATAAGTTTGTTATGTTATTTATTGCTCTTTGCATATTAATAGTACAGGTATTAATATTTTTATTGCTTATAAATATTACAAAGTCATCCCCGTATTGGTATACACTAGTCTCTGTAATTTGATTGCATATTTTGTATGTAGCTATATTAAAAAGAAGAGGGGATATAGGGTCCCCCCGAGCTAAACCTTTATGCGTCCATCTAGTTATGATTTTATTGTCTACCAAGGTTTTTATCTTAAGATGTCTTTCACTTAAATAAAGCCACAAATATTTACAAATAGACCTTCCAATTCGCAGTTCATCTAAAGCTACTGTAACACTATCATATTATTGTACGCATTTTCAACATCTAGGAAGCAAGCTAATGTAGGTACATTTTTAGTATATCCCAGTTGTATTTCAGTAACAAAACGTACAAGACAATCTACAGTAGAATGACATCTTCTAAAGCCTGTGGTATAAGGTGATATCACTTTATGTTTCTCAATATACCATTCGATGCGCTTAGCTATCATGGTATGAAGTATTTTACAAAGGCAAGAAATAAGGGAAATAGGTCTTAATTTATCAGAATTAAGTTTAGGTATAGGTATAATTGAAATATCCCGCCATTGTTCTGGTATATAACTAGAGTGAAAAATCATATAATATAATGTTAGAAGGTACTGTTTCCCCTCGTCGGCGAGATTGAAAATCATTGAATACGTAATATCACGGAAATATTCCCGACTTTTCAGCAAGTGACTAATTAATATACAAAATGCGTCAAAAAAATTGTACCTCTTAGAAAATCATTTTCAAATGTCATTATCTTTTAATATGCACATGTAGTCACAATAATAATGATTTAATTTAAAAATGTTTCTTAATTGACTTAATTAAAAACATTACTTTTCATTATCAAATAAAACCTAGTGCAAAAAAAAATGTGTCACAAAAATTCGATGCAAATTTTGCTAGCGGGGGAGTCGCTTGTTGCGTTTCCTTGTGTGGGTATAAAAAAGTCCACACGGAGTCAACGCACAGATTTTACTGAAGAAAAATCACCTCGAAGATGGATACCACAGCTGATGAAGCCGCTCAAGTATTTGCCCTACGGCAATTAGGGATGCGGCAGTGTGATGTTGCCCGGCAACTGAACCTGAACCGTTTTTCCGTTCGAAGAGTATACCAGCCAGCGCTTCATAGAGACTGGTGGCTATATCCGGAGACACGGGTCCGGTAGACGTCGCTGCACTTCAGAAAGAGACGACCGTTGAACAGGTCGTCTCTGTCGAACTCTGAGAAATCGTCTCTCTAACGCTGTTGAGTTGCAACAGCAGCTTCAGGCAGTTTATAGACGCACCGTGAGCGTCTCTACGGTTAGAAGAAGACTGAAGGAGAAAAGATATCGGCCCACAGAGCTGCTACGGGTCCCAAATTGACAGCAGCGCATCGGCGAGCCCGCTTACAGTTTGCTCGTGGCCACGTCCATTGGACCCTTGAGCAGTGGAGAGCTGTTCTCTTCACAGACGAGACGCGAGTGTGTCTTTTCTGCAACGATCGACGGAGAAGAGTATACCGGAGGCAGGGTGAACGTTTTTCGGAAGCCTGCATCCAGGAGACGGTGGAATATGGGGGCTGGTCCTACATGTTCTGGGGCGGTATGTCGGCTGCCGGCAAAATCGGCCTTGTCTGCGTCTTTCGGACTAGAAGAACTAGCGGACAAGGGTCGCTGACTGCTCGCCGCTATGTCACAAAGATCCTAGAAGTGCATGTGGTCCCCTTTGCTGAATCTTTTGGCGAGGGGTTCACATTAATGCACGACAACGCCCGCGCCCACAATGCAGCTATCGTGAGTGACTTCTTACAGAGATCCCAAATCTCTGTGATGCAGTGGCCAGCGAGAAGTCCGGACCTGAATCCGATAGAGCACCTCTGGGGTCATCTTAAACGCAAGGTTCGATCTTGGGATCCAGCTCCTTCGACTCTACAGGAGCTCCAAGTCGCAGTGATTGAAGAATCCCACCCCTAGCCCATTCTGACACTAGATCGGGGGTAGAGGGATAGCGGGGTAACACTAGATCTTAAGTTAATTTTAAAATACTTTTTGTACATTTTTCTTTGTAAATTATCTGTTGTTAATAAGGATTTAATTAAGGATTTTTATTTATTTTTTTCATTTTAATGTTGTTTGTATAATTTTAATTAAATAAAAAGTTTAATTTAATGGTTTTTGGATACTCCTTTTTGTTACCTTTCCAATGATACACAACACTATTCTCTAAATAATATTTAAGAATTTATAAAGGTGCATTTTTTTTGACCCCGTGTGTTATGTATACGCCAGTAAATAGATGAATAATTAAATATTTTAATTTTCTCTCATTTTCTTATTATTATTAAATTAATAAGTATCGTTTATTTATGGAATAGTTTTTTTTGTTAAGAGATGCCCGACTTTTTGCCTAAAGAACCACAGTTAATAAATGAACACAAAAAAGTCGCATTTGGACAAACACCTCACATTAAATTACAAAAATTGGAGGTATAAAGCCGTATGGGCACATACTAATCAGTTGAACAAATACATTGAATAATTTTAGTGGCATAAAGGAGGATGTCATCATTTTTTTAAAAAAAGTTAATTTTTCACTGTTTGGAAACATTGTTTTTAAATTTTAATTATAAAGCTAGTTAAGCTCCTTATTTAGCTAACTAAATGCAAAGACAACATTTACATATTGTTTGTACTTATTGAAATATTTGCCGATAAAATTGAATTTTTATTTTATTCTGTCCTGTAAAGTTGGCAAAATCAACATCCGCCCTAATGCTTCTAAGCTCTAGATTTACACTAGTGGATTCACAATTTACACTCCCCATCGTCGCTTTCTTCTTTTTGTTTATCTTTCACTTCTTAACATTAATATTTTCACTTGAACGTGAGCTTTCATCTTCAGAAAAGTCTGACGGCATCTTAGTGTGCGTCTTCGTTGTAACCACCTCACTGTATGACCGTTGAAGATGTTGAGGTTTCGACGTGTCCTGTTGCCAGTTTGATATATCCTGCTTTTTAGTTTTTTTTGTTTGGTCATTTTTATTCTTTAATTTAGTTTGTTGTTCTATTAGATATATTTGCATGGCTCGTTTGTAAGTGGCATTGTGCTCGCACATTAATTTGCGGATATATTTTTCTTTGAGGAATATGGGGCACGACCTGTCCAACACAATGTGGGACCCTTTACAGTTAAGACATTGAACGTCTTTCTTATCGCAATTTTCGTGATTCTGTCCACACTTTGGGCAAACAACTTTTTTTGTGGGACATAATTTTATAATGTGTTCAAATCGCCAACACCCTGAGCACTGTGTAACTGGAAACACATAAGGTTCCACTTTTATCCTGCAGCCATAACTATACACATACTGTGGTAGTACCGGACAGTTAAACACCTATACGCACTGTTTCACAGTCAACCCATTTTCCTTCATTGTTCAATCTCTTCAATCTGTTTACAGATGTAATCTCTTCAGTACACTGCAAACTATCCAATATCTCCTTATTATCCATTTCAATATCTATACCTTTTATAACTCCGTAAGATAAACGAGACTCTAATGTTAATTGACAGTTGTAACCTAATTCTTTAAATTTTGAACAATTAATCAATTTTTCGGCTTTAATTTTGTTTTCTAAACGTATATTCACTTTGTATGGACTTTTATATTTAATATTCAAAATTTTTTCAATTTTTTCTGACTTCAACAGCTTTGCTAGTGCCATTTGTTTCAATAATGGTTGAAGCGACATAACACCAACTTCTTTATATTCCTCGCTGTCTCTTGTCTCTATTTCCATTAGGGTAAAATTCTGATTATTCGTAGATTTACTTCTGATCAGTCGCTTTGACTTTCGCCTGTTGACTGTCGTAAACTCATCTTCTTTACTCTCTTCGCTATCCTCGCGTGGTCTCTTACCGCGGCTTACTTCGTAAGACTCGGTACCTAAATTATCCCATTCTTACATCCTCCCGAGCTCTTTTTCGCACCTTCTTATTACTTCCGTATCACTCTTATCACTCGCGGTTAAATTATTGTCCGTTTCGTCAATAGTAACTTCATCCATTTTTACATTTACGAAAAGCGGGTATCTTTGAAAAATCTACCGACGAGAGTAGTACGCGTGCGCTCACAACACCGCTCTGCGCGCGACTGACTTAAGGCGATAGTAGTCAAAGCTTCGTCACTGACTGATTGTGATGTTATTCCAGGGACCCACCCATCTTGACTGCGCACTCCAGCTCTGACATCCTACTGCGGCTGCCAGGCGGGAAACGTTTGCGGGACATCAAGTGGATTAGTGTATGGTGCCGCCGCTTCACTGTAAGTCCTCTTCTTATATTCTTGTATTATAAGAAAGAATGGAAAATATTGATAACATAACAATACAATAATTAACTAACAAACATACCTACGTAGTACAAATAAAATCCCAAATAGGTTATTCCGCAGAGACACTAAGTAGAATGCGGCGCTGTTCTGGCAGGGAGAGCAAATAAGGTACCTGATACAAATAAGGCCTATGCTGAAAAAAGACCTGTACTGCAGAAAAGTCTATTAAAATATGATTACATCAAAAATACTTTACACACGCATAGATGACAGTTCTACAACTCGGCAAACTGTGCACGAGCGGTCCGCTCGAGCTCATAGCGTCAGTAGTGGCGGTACTTTGTGAAGGACGAGCTTTTCATAGCGTGTTATTAATTTACTGTATGTAACTAATCAAAAAGTTGACAATGACTTAAAATTTAACTTTTTAGAATATGCGAATAAAAAACTACTTATGACTTTTATGAAGTATAATGTACTAAATAAAGCATACTTTTATAAAAGGCCATATTTTTATCTAATATATCTGTCAAAACATATTAATTTTCCAATATTTAATAATATTTACGAGAAGATATGTTTATTTGCTAATTTTTGTTTGTATGGATGTTTTTTTTTTATATTATTCTTTATCTCTTGCTAGTCGGATTTGCAGTCGCATATTAATTGCGACTACCGAATACCGAATATTCGGCGAGGCCCCTGGCCGAATAGCCGAATATTAGGCAAAAGTATTCGGCTGGATTTTAGCGCCAAAAACTTGTACAGACATGATTGTTTCGCGCTCCTTTGTTTGGAGTGCAATTCAGTCAAATGCAGTTTCAACAGAAATGGATATTTTCTTAAATATTAGTAATATATCACGTCATGACAACCCGTATACATTATGGCAGCAAGGAAATTTGAATTTCCGTGTTTGATTAAGATTGCAGCAAAATATTTGTCGGCGCCAGGAAGTAGCGTTTATTCAGAGCGCCTTTCCTCTGAAGCTGGGATGGTCTACGAGAAAAAAAAGAAGTAAACTACTTATAATTTTTATTTTTAAAGCATGTAACTGCTTGATGTTTAAACCTAAAGAAAATATAACTAGAAAAACATCTACGCGGACCAGGCAGCAGACGGGACCCGAACCCGCACTCTTCGCAATCCGGGCGAATGCACTGACCAATTATGCTACCGCGGCCCTCACGGACCGAGTCGAAATAGTAAACTACTTCCTAAAAATGCAGAAAAGTTAGTCTTTCTGCATCATAACCTTCCCCTTCTAAATTTTGATTATGAAAATAATTCAAATGCATAGAAAAAATCTTAACTTGTTTAATAAAGAAAATTATTAAATTATGTAGGTACCTGTTTTATGTACCTAACAATGACTACTTAATAAATGATTATAAAAGAGATATACCCTTTTAAATTTCAGAATCAATTCAGAAGATGATTATGTACCTGTGTTATGTACCAATGATTACTTTAATGATTATATATTATAACAGAAATGAAAATATGAATATATACGTAATCAATCGATTTAAATTTTTGATTTTACCAATTATTTCTCTATGACAAAATATATTATTTAAGTATTCGGTATTCGGCCGAATAATATGTAGATATTCGGTATTCGGCCGAATATAATAAAAGCAGCCGAATAGACCGAATACCGAATAGTAACCGAATATTCTAGTCTAGTAATTATTATGAAATTCTGCCATCATTGAAGAATTTATGCCATTGTGAATTTCGGGAAAATAAACATTTGGTCAAATAATAATATTTAAATATAAATATGCCATAAAACGTTAAAAGAAAACTATTACAAACGTGTTATGAAAAAATTCATTCCGGAGGAACAATAAGCTGCCAGGTCGAGGGAACCCATCATAAAAACACCCATGTTTAAAAATCGTTATTTATTTTAATTTTTAACCGACCTCATAATAGTTTTTTTTTATTTATATGATATTTGACATTTACGTAGGAAGGCTGTGTATCATTTTCTAAAGAATCTAATTAGAATTTCAGACCAAGAATTAAAGCATAGTTGTTTCTGACTAATTAGGTAATAATTAATAGGTTGATGTAGAAGGAAAATATTAGAGCCGCTTTAATAATAATTATTATTATATCAGAATAATAAAAATAAAACTGTAAAATATATTTATATAAAACATTGTTTAGTAAGATTTCGATACATGGATTGTTTGCAATTCTGAACATCGACGCGATTATTATTGCATAGATAGATTTGCATCCATAAATAATTACAGGGCGGTTTTGCATTGACACCATTAGCAGTAATATAATTGGTTTTGGAGCCAACCTACATAATCTCTGTAATTTGTGGAGCCCACCCATTATTGAGTCGACTTTGGGCATAACATGTGGCATAATCAAGACAAACCTAGCGCCCAATTGTTTAAATATATGCGTAGTTTGGTATTTTATTGTCTTAAATGAAAATATATATGATTCTGTTTCAGTCTAAAGCAAATCAAAAAGGAGTTTTAGTAGTAACCACAGTTTGACCCATTAAAATTGTTAAAATTTAGAAGAAGCTATAATTTCATACTTAAGCAGTAATATTTTTTTATTACATAGCTGCACTTGATATGTAGGATAATATTATAATATAATTTATCCGGACCTTAAAATTTCACGATTCTCTGTAGTAGGTACCTACATACTCTAAATTATGCCGTGACAGCTCTTACAAAATATCGATTGCCTAAATCAGCGCATGCGTACAGATTTTCTGCCAAAAAGTGACATTTATTACAACGGGACTCCATGCGCCGCTTCAGTGAGAACTTTAGTGAGCGGTTCATTCACCGGACGGCATACAAGTAACAAGGTAAAGAAGTTAAGGTTAAAAAAGAAAGCAATACTTGCACTTTGTACTATGAATGAAAATATTAACTATAAACTGAGTTATTGAAAGCTGTTTTAATTCTTCCAAATATATTTTGTTCTTACCATGTAGAAATTCATACTATATCCAGTAAAGAGGCTTCTTACGCTCATAATAATATTGAAATCACGGACCTCTTTTTTTCAAGTCCGTGTCCGTCCGTGAAGACGTTTCATGTGAATCAAAAATAATAAAATATTCATTATTACAAAGAAATGAATTGGCCCTAAAATAGTTCTTTGGGGTAGGCTGATGTCAAGTCATTATTTCTTTTGAACATTGTCTTGAACTATTAACACATTTACGAGAAAAGAGTACCTACCTATGTTTTAATTTGACGTTGGCTGAACACACAAACCGTGCTTGCCACAAAAAAACTAATGAAGCAAACTTTTTCTAATTAGAAGATGGCGCGCAGGGCTTGTTTACCGGTTAATTTTCAAGCCTAAATCAGTATCAAGTACATTAGGAGCGTTTTATTTAGGTTTGGCTCTACCTTAACCTTAAAAAAACGGTTTTCCTAAAAAGCGAAATCAAATAGGTTTTGAATCAATTTAGCGGTTTTTAAAGGGTTTCATTTCGCTCTTACTGACTTATAATGATTTTATGTCAGTTTCTTTCCAACTACTTACAGAGCGAGTGAGTGAAGTAGTGTGTCAGTACACAACTACAAAATGAATAACTTCGACTCACTAGACGCTATCAACGTGTCAATAAATGCATCAATCTCTGAGCAGTAACAAGTTGTGACTTGATTAGCTCAAACAAAACAAACTTCAAGCGCTTGAAGTTTGTTTTGTTTTGTTTTGGCGTGCACGTGTCGCTCTGGATTAAACCGGTTTTTTAAGGTTTGAGGTACTGCTTTCATTTCGGACGCGGTCCGGGCGAAATCTTTACCTAAAACCGGTATTAAACTTTATTTACCGGTATTTTCGAAACCGGTTACAAGCCCTGATGGCGCGTATTTCCATATGACGCCATATGCGGGTGGTGAAAATTAGAACCACATCACGTATTAAAGTGAGACCAAGGTTAATAAATTAAAAGCGCTCGAAGGCGGTTCGAATAAAATTTAAAAGATCCGTAAAGGATACCCACGGCACCATGTATGGGACCGCACGCTCCGTTGTATAGTCCGTAATTTTAAACTTTCGAACAATGTATTCAACTTCAGTAAATGCATTTTTAGAGCAAATGTATTAAAAAATATATTATACAACTAGCTGACCCAGCGAACTTCGTACCGCCATAAAAATAGGGGCAGGCGGTAGAAGAGAAAATTTAGGGCTGTATGTATTTTTTAATAGGTACCACATTTAAAAAAAAATATTGGCCAAAAATAATTTTAGTGGTGTGTAACAATCAATTTCTTGGGATAACATTCCTCCTAACCCATATGAGAACACTACGTTACAATACCCAATAGTTTGAATTTTGGCGCGAAGGCGCATTGTAGGTTTCAGAACACTACGTTACAGGTGGACAACCATTATCACTTAAGGATATGATAAATAGATAGTAGCTGATTCTTAGACCCACGGAATATGCATATAAAACTGTGCCCTTGTACTACTATCTTATTTTGTAATTTCTGTCGATTTATATTTGTGTGTACAAAATGTATACTTAAATAAATAAATAAAAAAAAAATCATAAAAAACGGTCAGGCCGTTTCGGAGGAGTATGGTAACTAACATTGTGACACGAGAATTATATATATATATATATATATATATATATATATATATATATTTCCAACACGCACCAATTAGCCTAGCCCCAAAGCACGGTAATAATATTATTACCGTGCCCAAAGTAAGCACCGTAAGGCTTGTATTATGGGATACTAAGGTAACGGATAGAATACATATACAGTACATATATAAGTATATTTAAATAGAAATACATATTAAACATCCATGACTGGAGTACAAATGCGCGTATTCATCACAAAAAACATCTGCTCCCACCGGGATTCGAACCCGGGACCGACACCATGAAACCCGGCGTACAAACCACTCGACCACGGAAGTCGTCAAAGATTAGAAACGACAGACGTTGTCCAGCCCCTTTAAAGATATTTAAGATTCCTCAAATTTCCAATTTATTTTTGATTTTTTCCGAAGATCGTTCTACAAAGTATCAGAAAGCCTAATTAATGGCGTGACCAAGTAAAATAAGGATTCATTTTTATAAAGGTATAATATAAAAAATAAGAATATTAAACTCTCTTTTATTAAGACTTCTTTGTCCTTTTGTACCAGGTAAACTTCGGGGACGTGTTCATACCCCCAGGTCTAGACCCGCCCAGACCGCGAGTATTGCCCGAGTTTAAGCGTCTCGCTCACGGGCTAAGGTCTGGGAACATCAGCGTCTTGGATGCCAAGACATTCTACATACCGAACTTGCATTACGACGGAGCGGGACCAGATGCCTACTTCTGGGTCGGCAATGGTACGGAGCCCAGCCCATTCGGGACCAAGGTAAGTGATTTTTATACAAGGCATTTGACGTCTTTGCTTTGCGATCGTGGGAGTTAAGCAATGGTTGGTCATAGGATGGGTGACCAAATAATTAAGTTTTCAATCTCCATTATGATTCTGGATGCAGGTTGAGCCTTTGGTCTCGGCTGCATCTGCAATCATTAGCTTTCCCATCCATAGAGAAACTTATGTCCCAGCAGTAGAAATATTTATAGTTTGTGCGACATATTAAATGTTATTTATTATATGATTTTAGTGATTGATATAATAAGTACTTTTTAATGTAATTATAAGGTTGCGAAGCTCGAAATTGGCGACTACTTTGTTATAATGTCCATATTTAAAAATTTACATCCATTCGTACACTTGTTGAACAAGGATAGATATAATAAACATTAACATAAACTAGGTACCAAACGAGATGGGTTCGTTGAACCCCCTACGCGGCTACCAGGGAGAGGACATAGAGATCCAGCTGCCAGGTCGCCTCACCGCGTATGACGTGGAGTGGCTCGCCGTCTGGTGCGTCGAGTACCGCCATAACTTTGGCCATGTCCTGATACCGAGAGACCTTGATGTGCCACCGGCCCTAGGACAGACCAAGATCACGGTGAGTATAGCGGGCCAAGATCACTGGCTAACTGTGAGTATAATCGGACCAAGAAGACAGGTTGCGTCATGTAAAAGGAACGCTGGAAGAAAGTGAAGGGTTGTGTAAGCGCAGCCAGATCTTGGCAGTCACTGCCCGGCAGTCGATGTTCTGTGGCCCTGCTGAGCTTCGCTGCCATGAGCCTTTGGATAGTACCCGCCACAGCCTGGGCCGCACTACCACCTACAGTACTGAAATAGGAGTCAATGTGACCCGTTAAGCATTAGGTGGTGTTATGAGTACCTATCAAATCTGAATTATGTTTGACAAATAAACGAAAACTAGAACTCTTGAAGCGACTGATAGAATGAAGATGCAATAATGTTGCTCTTACTTTTATCAAAGTGTCATAAATAGATTCATTATATCGGTCATTCTCACGACTAGGTGTGTTCTTCATATCCTTCACGATTTTTTAGCACCATTAAATTCCCTGCACTGACAATAAAACTTGAAAAACACGTTAAACTTCATAAATTTATGCATTTGGCATTTTAATTATTTGGTTTTGGATTTATGAAGTGATATATTTTTGGGCGTGACGAAAATTAGATTCGCAGTGACGGACTTTAAAGAATAGCTCAATAAATTATGAATTTCCGTTTTAATAAGACAAACATGGAAATTATCAACTTACAAAATCATTGTTCAGTTATAATGGCCAAAAGAAAAACTAACCAGTTCTGTGAAATAACAATAAAAAACATCCTTGGTACTTTCATTATACAATCACCTCAGTCGCCGATAATCAATTCATTCACTATGTATGTTTCAACAGAATATAGTAATAACAAACAGTAGTTTTTAGGCATTTTATAGTTTTCATCACGTTTTAGCGTGACGGATTGGGTGACGGAAATAAGGAACTTCTAATTATATCTAATTATTTTTTTTATAATATTCCAATATTATAAAAAAAATATGACAATGTTTTAAGGATAAATAGAACGTTGCATGCAACAGGAAAAGAATCAGGCATAATGAAATAAAATGAAACTAGCGAACGGAAATTAGTGAAATCGTAAATCATGCTAATGGAAATTGCTTTCTTATGTTATCTAGTACGACACCGAAACACTAGACATCAACCGCTTCGATTACTGACGTAGCACTACTGACGTATTCCTAATATGCCATATGAATAGGTATAATTTACTCAGATAATGAGATATTCATCATTTCTTAACCAAAAATAAATTAATTTTCTTTCAAAATATGTAGACAGTATATATATATATATATATATATATATAGACTAGTAGTATATAATTTCTAGAACTAATCGCAAAAAATAATCAACATCAAAATATTACAGACTTAGTAGATATTTAAAATCACGTTAGCTAATATACAGCCTGATTTTTACTTATTAATACTAAAGAAAATTTTACTAGAAAAAAATCCACAGAAAGGACCCCGCAGAATGAGCTCGGGATTAAGGTCATTTCAAGGTCAAATCGAGAACAATACTTCCTTAGCGATGAAAACCCACAGATCTTAAAATGACCTTCATCCCGAGCTGATCGTGCCGAGAAGCCATTGGATTTGGATTCAGCAATCCAAAAAACATTTGGTTGTATGGATTTTCACCACCTTGGAAGTATTTTTCTGGATTTGGCCTTATACTGACCTTGATGCTGACCCGACTGGATCGAATAGACTCTGGATTCGGATTCAGTGACCTGAAAAACATATGTGTACATCACCAGAACCATTTCTGAATTCACGTTCAACAGAAACATTATACAGCCGTACATTTTGGACTTTGATACGCTGTAGCTCCTCATCTATGAACCTTTGGCCATTGGGCCATTGGGCCCGGGTCTTTTATTCCACATGTCATGAGCTATCATCTCCCAAAGTTACAGAAAAATTGGCCGAGAGCCAGCTTCCATAAAGATTCTGCGGGGTCATTAGAAAACCAGACGGGGCTCCAACCCGCACCTTTCGCTATCCGGGGAATGCACTTACCATTATGCTACTGCGGCCCTGACGGCCGTGTCAAATTTTTACTAGCCTTTCATAGGCTGCAAGGCAGCGGCATCTCTTCGCATTGTAGCTAACCCACAATGTCAAATGAAGAAATAGCAATTATAGTTATATTTTTGATTTTTTAAGCATTTAACTGCTAGATATGATTATCTAAAAAAGATTTACTAGAAAAAAATCCACGCGAACCCTGCAGCAGACGGGACTTGAACCCGCACCCTTCGCTATCCGGGCGAATGCACTTACCATTATGCCACTATAATTAATTCTACTAAAACTCATCAATTTCATCTGTAAAAGACATCAGAAATGCCTACAATGCAGTGCGCGGCAGCTGAGTCTCTAATGCCGGGCTGTGACAGCTCGGCGCCGACTGCCGTGATTGGAAAGCTATCTTTACAGTCAGCGTTCTTTTTACATGAGGCAGCCTGCACTGTGAGTAAAACGGGACCGTGACACCGTGAGTACAATCACTGTGTGTATAGAGCGGGCCGAGTTCATTGTGAGTTGTGTGTGAGTACAATCATCCCAAGATCATAGCGGGACCTATGATCGTTGTGAGTACAATCAGACGCAGATGACTCACTGCGATTTGTTATCAGCACCACACTCACATGACGTGCTGCCGATGATCACGAATCTAAACGATCATGAATTTAAATGATTCATGATCATCGGCAGTAGGTATATAAAAATATAATAAATTGAATTAATATCTAACCAAACACCATAAATTATGCTATTGATTTTATAATAGCATTAAATTTTGATTACCTATTGAGATCATTTTCAAAAATATTTTTTTTCATATTGAACATTAAAAAAATGATTCTCTTCTATTTTAGTACGTACATTTTAACTATTTTTTCTCCAATAAACAAGCTGCTTGGATTACTAATTAACTTCCTATGCAGTGTTTTTAGCTTACTAATCTGGACTCTTTATGCATACTAACTGTTTTACTTTAAGTTATTTGATTTACTTTTCAGGGTAAAAGGAAAAAAACATCGAAACATAGGAGGCCTCCCAAAAAGTCTGAACTAATTGTTCTCCCGAAACGGCCAAAAGAACCGTCGTGGTTTGCTAACGATTGGTTTAGTAGTATTTTCAGTCAGAGATAAATTTAAAAATATTCCTACGTCTATTTTAAAATTTCACCCGATTATATGGAGTGAAGTCATATTGTACAATTATTAACATATCAAAATAAACAAACAAGATAGATTCAAAGTTTATTAGAAATTAAAAATTAAGGATCAGACATTTTCAACAATTAATTTGGAAATTTTATTATATATAAAGCCTGTTGGATTAGGTACGAAAGAGAAACAATGTTATTATGCTCCTGTTTCTCACTTATCCTATAGCAGGCTCATATCAAAAGTTAGTCAACGGATCGGATAATGCTATTAATTAAATGAGTAGTTGCAGTTGCAGCTAAGGCGCTTAGCTATGCGAAAGTTACTCCTAACTCTAAATACAATAATGTGTTGATTGAACTATGCCGAGCTGTGCGACGTTAATGGTAACGATAAATGTCTGATGCTGTCAAAATTAGCTTCCAAGTGTTCTTATATTTTTATTTTGCCCCTAATTCAACATGGGGCAAGCTTTACGTATATTTAAGTAATATTAATACGTATTTTTTTGTATATCACTTTTATTATTTATGTTTATCATATTATACCACATAAATGTATAGTTACAAATTTATTTTATTATTCGATGTATTTTCTTTAACAGGGTGGAGTACTTATTGTTAATTGTTATGCTTGTCTTGTTAATAAACTGTCATAACTTATTAAAATAATCTTTTTCTACTGTTTTTCTTTTCTGCTTGCTATGGGAATTGCAAATTATAATTTTACAGCCCCCCTGGTGGTACAATCCCGTGAGTATATATTTATTTATTTTACTAAAACCTTGATGATAAATAAGGTTCTTGCACGCATGTGTAATAAAATGTTTTGCAAACATAACAAGACATCAGAGAAACTTTAAGAAATATAACAATACTTGTTCTTATTTAAGTTCAAACTAGGGAAATGCTGACGATTTATGCTACAATATTATTTATTTATATCGCACCAATCGTCTGTAATTCATTTTAACAATATCGCACTGAAGCTTATTTGGCACACCACCAAATTTTCTGTAACATGAACAAGTTTAGTAAAAATAGCACTAACATGAATACTTATTTTACAAATTAGAACCAAAACAGAGATTTTGTCATGAATAATATTTGTTATTTTATTGCTTTAGAAAACACAAATTACTTAACAGAGTCGGTAGAAAGCCTTCGTGATCAATTTAAATAAAATGCATTGCAAAGATTTTTTTTAAAGTTCCTCTTGACGTTACGCTAATAGTAGATTAGTAAAGTAGATGGATTGTATATTTTTTATTTTATCTTCATTTAATATTATGTTTAATATTTTCCAGACAAGCTCCACGACGTCCCAAACCCCATATAGTGCTAACAATAACTGTAAAGAGATATTAGACAAAAGGTTGCAGGTGCGGTGGGAAATTCAGGTAAATACTAATATTCTTTATTTATTTAGTTTGTATCGTGATCTGTTTCATTAATATCATTATATTAGGTGTCTGTCTCTATTTTATTCACATGCTCTAAAGAAACTATGACTCTTTATTACATAATAATATGTGAGCTATTTTTAATGGTTATTATTACCGTTTTGTATACATACTACAAAATAACAGAAATATTCATTTTTGTTTCCATTCAAGCCAGTAGTGAGAGAACAACAAAGGTAAACATTATTAAAAAATAAGAACTAAAATTATGTAAAGTTTTCTTTAAACTAAAGATGTTTGTGGGGTTAGGAATAATTATAGGGTTACCAAACAGCCCTATTTGTTGAACATCCGTATGAGTTAAAATTAGAAGACGGCCGTACCGGAGTGTCACGGCCGTTTGGTAATTTAATGACACGAGTAAGCCACAATAATATAATAGGCATCAAAAATATTCTCTGATAACCCAAAGTACTTACCTATATAAAAATAAATTAATGAGCGAGATTGTAGCTCATTATTCTGGTTTCTGTTGGTCAAACGAAACGTGAAATCAACAAGTTGTGTTTGACCTCAGCCACCAGATAAGTTTTTAGGGTTCCGTACATCAAGAGGAAAAAACGGAACCCATAAGGGTTCCGTTTTCCTATAAAGGATCACTTTGCTGTCCGTCCGTTCGTCTGTCAAGACCCTTTTTCTCAAGAAGGCGTAGAGGTATCAAGCTGAAAATTATATCAAATACTCAAGTCTATTGTCCATTGGAACTGCGAAAAAATCAAACTTCTAAGCCAACGCAATCAACAGATACAGCCGTTTATGCCGCAAATTTTCGAAACTCGCAAGGGAATCAAAACCTACAGGGTACTTCCCGTGAACGTAGAATCTTGAAATTTGGTACGAAGCCACTTCTTATAGCACAGATAAAGGAAAAATTGCGAAAACAGTAAATTTTTAGTAACATCACATATTTTACGGAACCCTCGGTGCGCCAGTCCGACTCGCACTTGTCCGGTTTGTTTTTGTCACCGGCGACTAATTTAGTTTTGGAAAAACGATGTATTTTCCACTTTGCTATGATGCAAAATAATTTTATCAACAGAATTACTATGTAATGATTTTGTAGTCAGTATCGTTGGTACTAGATAATCCGTGGTGGCGAGGGTAGTCAGGGTAAGCATTTATGAGGGCTTACTCCAAATTTATCAAAAGTATTTCAATATCAAACTTTATTTCTGACTAGCGGCCGCCCGCGACCACGTCCGCTTTAACTTGGTTTTTTGAAAATCTCAGGTACCTAAAATTTTTTCGGGATAAAAAGTATCATACGTCTCAATCCAGGTCATAAACTATATGCGTACCAAATTAATTCAAAATCCGATTAGTACTTTTTGCATGATTGAGTAACAAACATACAAACTATAAGTTAGGAAGTAGGATACTTGAACCGTGTTGTTTTATTTTATCCAGTAAAATTTTCTGTGTTTAAGTTTTGAGTAGGTCCTCTTATTATATCACAATCGTCTACAGAGTCCAGTTCTGTATGGATGCCTCCAGGGACACACATACAAAGTCATCCAAGGCTTAGGGAGAGTTCAGGCATACACACGGACAGTAGAAATATATATTTTATAAAACTTTGTGGGTGGTTATCATCAGACGAGAAATAACGTCCATTTGCAAATTACTCGTAGTACCTATCTCTTGACATTCTGATTTTTGATCTATTCAGATTATTGAAAATTCATATTCTAATACCTATCATCCGCGGTAGATCTTATTCACACAATTAAAGATTTGTTTGGCACGATGGCACTGTGGTTAGCTCATTTCAATCTGCGTTTGTGAATGTTGAGCTGGTTAAAAGGTAGGTGACCAAATGTATGTTTTGGTTACCCATTACTGTCTGAAGATCCTCCACATTTTCGAAGACACGATAAGCCAGTGGTCTCGACTTCATCTTTAGACCTTAAAACATACCAATTCACACTGGACCTGTACACATTACACAGGGTCAGTTCTCCCTATTCCAGACATAGGGAACACCTACTCCTTAACAGCTGATGAAGATTACTTTTTACTTTACAGCAGCTGTTTCCTTTTAGTCGCTAACTTGCTGTTCGTTTGATTGCAGGGTGACCAAGTCCAGATAACCCTGTCGGCTCGTCTGCGGAAAGACCAGTATATGGCGTTCGGAATATCAGGCGCTGAAGGGAGGCCGGCCATGCTCGGAGCTGATGTGGCGGTTGCCTTCTGGGATTCTAAGTGAGCTAAATTTGTCAAATATTCATCGGGAAGTTATTAAAAGCACTACTTGCTTCCATCCGCGAATTTGTCTGGGTTAAAGTTAGTTTTTTGAGGAACCCAGCAACCCAATATTTTCGCAGAATAAAAAGGAGGTCTCAACCTTTTTTGTATGATTGAGTAACAAACATAAAGTATAAAATTAAACGTTGTATCATCTGCACCAAATAAAAAAACGATTGGTGGCTTTCCGCTACAACTGGGTCAGACTATTTCGCACAATTTGCCGATGAAAAACGAGACTGGATACGGGAATTTAAGTAACGAGTATAAATCACTCCCTTACTTTGAATTCGATGATTTTACCCGACACAGCGCTGGTGGGTTCACAGGTGCTTAGTACCGCAGTCCAGGGTGATGATGGAGACGCACGGAAGACCGCGGGACGCGACGATGGGCGGTGACGCCATAATAATATAGGCAGCAAACGAACACTTTTTGCCTTGAGTAACTGCCGACAATTTTGCGAATGAGACATTCGCGCCTCCGTTCAATCGTAGTAGTAAGCGGGCGGTAGATGTAGAAAGTTATTTTCACGATTTCCTACTACTCACGTCCTATATGGTAGATGCTTAGCAACCCTCTTTCAAGAGTGCACCTCATTACTCAGAAATCAGAAATCAATATATCTTTATTCAAATTGGATGTATAGTACAACACTTTTGAATCGTCCAAACATTTTTTTTTCCCTACCACTCGTTATTGGACATATTTTTTAGCTGCGGAGAAAAACGAGCGAAAAAAACTCCACAACATTAAAAGCATAATGTAACAACATTTACAAATCATTATGTTGTTACAACGTCAATACAATCATGATTTATTTAATATAGAAAACCTGTTGGAATGATTGGAACAGTTCAAACCCAAGCATTTTTGTCTGTAATATAATCAGACACTTTGTAATAAGCTTTTTTAATAAGTGTTTTTTTTATACTATCTTTGAATTTATTTATGCTTAACTCTTGGATATTGCTTGGGACTTTATTGTATAAGCGAACACAAAGACCTTTAAATGAATTATTGATTTTGTGAAGCCTAGTAGCAGGTAAAGTTAGTTTATTTTTGTTTCTTGTATTAAGTGTGTGAACATCACTGTTTTTAAGAAACAAATTAATATTTTTTCTTACAAGTAATAAATTTTCGTAAATGTATTGTGATGCGACCGTCATTATACCAAATTCTTTAAACCTATCTCTTAAGGAATCCTTAACTTTAAGATTATAAATTGATCGAATAGCTCTCTTCTGCAGCACAAAAATAGTTTGAATGTCGGCGGCGTTTCCCCACAATAAAATTCCGTACGACATTACACTATGGAAATAACTAAAGTATACTAATCTGGCCGTATCTACATCCGTTAACTGGCGTATCTTCATTACGGCATATGCTGCAGAACTAAGTCTATTTGACAATTTATCAATATGTGGGCCCCATTGAAGCTTAGAATCTAAAGTAATCCCTAAGAATACTGTGGTGTCTACAAGACCCATATTCCTATCCTTTACATTCACACTGGTTTTTACCTGTTTTACATTAGGTAATACAAATTTAATACATTTCGTTTTTCCTTCATTTAGTAATAAATTATTAACATTAAACCAGTGGACTACCTTAGAGATACAACTGTTCACGTCGTCAATAACTGTTTCCTTACGTTTGAGTTTAAATAAAAGTGATGTATCATCCGCGAACAATACTATCTCATGCTTATCTCTAACGTAGTAAGGTAAGTCATTAATATAAATTAAAAATAAGAAAGGACCAAGGATTGAGCCCTGCGGAACACCCATTTTAACCGGCGAACCCGCAGACTTATTGCCGTTAATGTCAACCCTCTGAATCCTATCCATCAGGTATGACGCAATAAGATCCAGATCAGTATCTCTAAATCCATAGTGGTGGAGTTTCCTGAGTAATGTTTCATGAAAAACGCAATCAAAAGCCTTGGACAAGTCGCAAAACACACCTAGAGCGTCCTGCGAGTTCTCCCAGGCGTCAAAAATTTGTTGTATAAGTTCAACACCGGCATCGGTTGTTGTACGACCCCGTGTAAAACCAAATTGTTTACAGTGAAGTATATTATATTTATTAAAATGTGATTGCATTTGATCTAACATGATTTTTTCGAAAATTTTACTAAAGGTGGGTAGCACAGAAATTGGTCTAAAGTTTGTGGGGTCTGATGTACTTCCCGTTTTATGCAAAGGAGTTATTTTACTGTATTTCATGAGGTCAGGAAAAACACCACAGTCAACACAATCATTAAATATGCAAGCTAGAATAGGAGCTATTGTCTCAATTACCGATTTAGAAACATCAACGGAATTGCCCCACAGATCCGTGGTTTTCTTTTTATTTAATTGGTGAAACGTTTTAATTACATCTTTGAAGTCAACATGTTTAAAAAGAAAATGAAAATATGAAATACTTTAAAATTACCCGTAAAACGGTCTCGAATTCAAAGGAAAATGATGCAATTTTGAATGACTGTTAAAAGTAAAATTACATAATATACATATACGATGATGGAACAAACGTTCACATTAATAATATTAGTAGTATTTTCTTGATCCTAGGGGTTTAAATTTTTAGTAGGTACGTTGGTATATTACCTACTATTTATTTTGATGTACAGGTTGAATCAGCCCAAGGTGTTTGACTACTTTATCTCGCACCTGGCCCAGTGCGACGGCGTGAAGGGCGTCTGCCCCGACGCCAGGGTTGGCGGTTCCAACGACGTCGTGATTGGTATGTCAATTATTATATTAATTTCTGAAATTCCGTTTCTTCTTTGCTTTCAATTGGAATTGCAAAAGATTTTATTGCTCCTTTGATGGTATTGGTATTTAGATATCTTTTGAGTAATGTTTTCTATTTCTATACAATTTCTCAAATATTTTGCATTAGGCTATTGAATAAGTTACAGATTTTACTATGGCATTCGACGTGGTGTGACCAACTTTGCTAGAATTTATCATAATTTTTTAACATTTGTGCAATAAATAAAACTAGTTTTGCACGAAACTTTATTTATTTATTGAGGTTTCATTTATTTAATGAGTGATGTGCGTGAAAACCTAAGAAACAAATACTTGTCCAATAGCTTAAAAAGTTATGATAAATTTTGGAAATACGGTGGAAAGGCGGTCTTCATTAGTAAGTAAAGTAAGTTATTACTTTAAGATACTTTTCTAATGAAGACAATTTTTAAATCTTAAAGATATTAAAACTTAGTACATTACGTGATGAAAGTATTATCGTTCCTTAAGTCTGCGAATCGTCATAAATTCTGCATGGGTAATTTGCCCCCAGTGTCCGGCAACCAGAAGAACGGCATAACTACTATCACATACCGCCGGCCGCTAGCCGCTCGGGAACAGTCCCGCGACCGACCGATTGAACGCTCGCGTTCGCAGTCCGTGATCGCGGCGTTTGGACCGCTCAACTCCCGCCTTGAGGCCAACGCGCACTCGTTTATGGATACCACCAGGACTGATGTGCAGCTCGACTTCGGGGCTATGGTGAGTAAAAATGACTAAAGAACTTTTGTGCCAATACTCTAATACAAACCAAAAAGACCTCAAACCTACACTCCATATAATGGCACTTAGGTATTGGCCACAATGATGGCGTTCCTAAGTAGTTGATTTCCAAATGATTTACCATTAGCAAGAAAACTTTTATCAACATTTCAATTATACTTTTAACCGAACAGATCCACAGACAGAGGACGTAGACACAGATCTGCTCAATAGTTAAACTTTTAATCTAGTGAAAGGTTTTTAGGTCCGTCCGCGGCTGTTTTATCATACATACTACACAAACACACTTACATGAAACATTAGGTATGTGCGTGTCACAATCACAACACAGTATCAATCAGACAGATTTCTATACTTTGATATATATAGGCACTGAATGAATATTTTTTAATCACCTACGTTTGATTTTGCTCCTTCAAAACAGTGACGTATAATATATAGACAGGTTATACGCCAACATTATTGCATTTTAAAATGGCATACGTCGTCCCCGCCGAAAGCTCTCTTTCACTAAAATAGTCTCTTTCACTCTCATTCATGAAGCAGATTACATCTCGCTCTTTATCTCGTGTCAATTGTGTCAGCAACTGACAAAATAAGTAAACACTAAATATTTTTACATATCGTCTGCTTAACAAGAAATTTTGCTAACTCCACTTTTGGTCAAAAATTATCTAACAATGGCGTTTGATTCCTTTAATGTGAACACATCGTTTACGTAAATTTGGCAACTCCTTGAATAAAGTGGAGATAGCAAATTTACAGTTAAGTTAAGTTTACTGTTAAGCAGACGATATATTTCTTTAAAACTGTACTTACGAATAAAATGATATTTTTTTGTCTCTAATAGTTCCCATATAATTTGTATATTATCAAAAACATACATAGGGCTTTTCGTCTAGAAAAACGTAAATTATATACACGTTGTAGCGAAGTGTAGCTGTGGCGCGAGAGCGTGCACGACTGAATGCAGGTCCTGACCTGTATTCAGTCGCAGTTTGGCAATACGAAAGTTAGGTAATTACCTGTAATTACCTAACTTTCGTATTTCCAAACTACGAGGGGCGTTCAATGTATTCTCGGTATTGGAAAAATATACAAACATGCCAAATAAAATAAATGCTAGTCGCTCGCAACCTCAGCTCGTAACTCACTACCGAAGATTCGGTAATCTCTGTCCGCCATCGTCGCGCGCGGTTTTTTAGCAATCGCATCGTGCATTTTTCCAGTGTTCACTGCTTCTGCTCGGTTTATACAAAATTAAGAGCATAAGACCCCGTTTACACTTTGTTTAGTAATTAGGCGAATTCATACATGTTCTGCAAGATTTCCAGCCCCCTCCTGGGTACGCCCATGTATCGATCGATACGAGTATTTTGGATTTCGCTAAAGCTTTCGAGGCGGTCAGCATCGTCATCTTACTCCACAAACTCGAAAATATTGGAATCCATAATGTCCCTTTAAAGTGATTGCACAATTTTTTACTTAAATTACAAATAGCGAGTTAAAATGCGTGTGCGTCGCGATAACACTTTAACGTCGATCTTCGACGAAGTTAAAGTTTTGTCACTATGACTGGACACGAATCTACGCGAAAATGTGTCCGTTGCAATAGAAACATTTATTTATTGGTTTGTGGTATGCCAGAACGATAACGCGTGCATCGGCCTGGCGGAAACGGATACGAGCGGCGTACGCGCGTGGGCAGCCCGCGTCATGTCGGGAGTGACTAACTTCACGGCGCGCATCGGGCCCGCTGGTGGCGCGCGTGGATATACACCGCAGACCGGTGAGTAAAGATCTTTCGCCTTTAATACCTTTTTCTTTTGTCTGGGAAATTACCGTACGCATTTTTCAACCACCGGGGGAGCAAGAAGAAGGTATGTAGGACTTCTCCCTGCTGTAATACTTCTGCAATGCTATAATAAAATAATTTCCAACTGGCCGCGGTCGTCTTTAGTCCCTATATCTAATAAAAAAACAATAAAATCAAAATGCAACGAGGTTTCTAGGCTGGTAATTTCTCATCCCTGCCCCCCCCCCCCCCCCCCCCCAGCTTCAGCCATACTCAATTCTTATCATTCTTTTACTCCGTCAACACATTCTTCTTTCTCCTTAGCTTTCTTTCGTTCTTCTTCATCTTCTTACTCATGTACATTATCTTATTCCTGGTCCTAATCCTCATCTACTTCATTATTCACCTTCTCTTTCTACTCCTCTCCTCTTTTTTATACTCTTCTTCAGTGTGTTTCTCTTCGCCCTCTTTAACTTATTCTTCCTCATTGTCTTTCGTGCCTTTGAATTCTTTTTCTCATTCTTATAACTTAACAATGACATAAAAACACCCTTGAAGACTACAACCAAAGATATTTTGTAGAATTGTGTTCATATTGTAAGTTTACCAGACTTTCAAAGTGTCAATTCCACTGAGTTGAAGTAATAATCATATAACAATTGCAAAATTATGCTAAGTCCTACCTCTGTATCTTAACTATGTTTTTATCCACAGGTCACCCGTCCTGGGGTATCGCGTGGTACATCAATGACCAGCTCATTCCCGAAATCTATGTGGAGCGCGGCAATACTTACACCTTCGTGGTCGAGGGAGGCGATGACAGAACCAACCCTGCAAAGTGAGTTTCATCATCATCATCAGCTTATCATAACATCCTAAATTTGTTAAATCTGAGATGCACTTGTCCAACTAGTTTTCGGCCACTAATTTAGTGGTCAATTCACAAATGTCACTCTCGAAGTTATTGATTCTAATCTAGTCATGAACTCGAATACTAGAACAAGCTTGTTCGGTCTGTTCTTTCTGATCACCGAAGCCTATGTAACTGACTGAAATTAAAAAGATATCGGTAACTGTGTCGATTCTGGCATGATTCTCTAAACTCTATATATATTCTCTAAACAGTTTGAGATAACAAAAACACAAAACTCATTTTTAGGGAACTGTATAGCTTTTTATAATAAGTTACCACACAGTATTGTTAATCTACCACTTCATAAACTAAAAACTAATGTGAAAAATACTCTGATGAGCAGAGGATGTAATCGAGTTCATGATTACTTAAATGATCGAAGTATGTGGGAACAAAGAACACTTCACTTATTGAAGTAAGCAGTCTTCTCATTATATTCTAACTTCTTATTTCACTACTATGTAACACATAATGAATGATGACGACCTCCGTGGTCAAGTAGTTTGTACGCCGGGTTTCATGGTGTCGCCGACTCGAGAGGTCCCGAGGTTCGAAGCCCGGTGGGGGCAGATGTTTGTGTGATGAATACGTGCATTTGTATTCCAATCATGGATGTTTAATATGTATTTCTATATAAATATACTGATATTTTTACTGTATATGTATTCTATCCGTAACCCTAGTATCCCATAACACAAGCCTTACAGTGCTTACTTTGGGGCTAGGCTAATTGGTGTGAGTGTTGGAAATATTTATTTATTTATTAAATGTATCTAATTAATTGTATTGGTAGCGACATGATTTAATGTAAATGTTGCTAGTTCTGTTAATGCTGATAAGTTTCTTGCGCCCATTCTTCTTATCAGCTCAAAGATGTTGAACATTGGACGATTCAAAAGAGCTTTCTATAAAGTCAATTTGCATAAAGTATAATTTCATTTCATTTCAAACCTAAAATTCAATTTGACAGCAGTGTATCCTTGTTATTCTTTATACAGAATGAAAAGACTGATGTTTAGTTTTAAGGTTAGAAAGTCATGCTAGAATCGACACCATTGGCGGTATAAATGCAACTGAACTTTACCTATTATATTTCAGAGTTTTATACTTTTTATACTGAAAGTCAATATTGGTGTTAAAGTTCAGAGGCATGATCTGTTAGAATTATAGCTATTAACGGGATTGTTACCATGTACCTTGTTTTTTATGAGTCTCCGATATTTCGGCACTGTTGCAAGCGCCATGATCACGGAGTAATAACATAAAAAACAAGGTACATGGTAACAATCCCGCTAATAGCTATAATGTTAGTGAACATGAGAGTTTAAAACAATATTATGATCTGTTAGGTCGGGCACGTGCAAATAATGTTAAATGAGATAGTAAAGAAACAGATACTACGCGATATGGGAAGCATGTAGAAGCCGCTGGAAAGGCCAACGGTCATATTGATAACATTCTGAAGTTAGTTTAGTCGTAGAAGAAGCAGGGTTTACCGGATTTTCAAATGTATTTGTGACACTGCATGAACGCGAAGGGGACAATTTGTGTCTGTGTATTATTAATTATCTTAAAGAGACTGTCTGTACATGCGAAAGACCTCCATTTAAATTTTGGTACTCATTTAACCAGGTTCCACCCGTTCTACATCAGTGATTCTTCGGAGGGTGGTTTTGGTCAGAAAAAGGAGGAGGAACAACGCAAGCAGCGCGTGTTCGCTGGAGTGGCCTACGACAACGAGGGATACCCCTACCCTACCGCTGGTACGTATAAATTATCGACTACCCTATCGCCGATGTGTTTGTATTAAACTATAGGTATAGGTAGCGGCAAACTTCTTAAGAAAAATCACAGACAAATTATTGCGCAGTAGACGTTTTTGTATGTAAAATTGCTACTGCGTAGGCTTTCTTATTGTCTACTAGCGGCCGCCCGCGACTTCGTCCGCGTTAACTTTAGTGTTTTTGGAAATCGAAAAGTAGTTTTTGCGTTGTTGACAATAGCATAGGATAGGATGTACGATGCTCAAAAAGTTTGCCGGGAAGTGTACCTGTCTGGGTGTCGATTCTGCTAAGTTGACTTCGTATTCGCGTCAAGTGGCATTACAATGGAATTGTTTTTTAAAACTGTTTTAGTTAGTAAAACAGAAAATTCGGTCACATTGGGCGTACAGACGATACATGTTACACACATGTATCGTCTGTACGCCCAATGTTTGTTAAGGATTTGGCAGTGTGTTGCGTCATTATCTGTGTACATGTATGGTGTTATTACAGTTTTGTTTTTACGGTTGTACGTTAAGTACATTTGCGTGCATAATCGCCCGCCGTAAATGCCTTAATCATTTGAATAGTATTATGTGGCAGTGGCTACTTCTTTCCGTGTTGCTGTGTGTGTCGAACACACTGTATCTCTCGGTTTAACCAAGAACAACTGCTTAAAATATCTATTTACTTTCTATTTTTACTTAGTAGTTAACTATCGTCAGCCGATTTAAGTCAATGAAAAATTATGTCACAAATGCTTGCAACGGAGTTCCGCATCTACTGTAGGTACAATCGAGTACACAAGTGTTTTCATAAACGTAAATATTTATATATTTCAAATTTATTTTTTATTTGAAATTGAAATTCTAAACAATATTGCATAAGAAATATTTCTTCAAACTCGGTCGAGTGTAACTATATTATAAACACTAGCGGCCGCCCGCGTTTCGTCCGCGTTAACTTTAGTTTTTTTAGAATCCCTCAGGAACCTAAAATTTTTTCGGGATAAATAGTATTCTATGTCTTAATCTAGGTCATAAGCTATATGCGTACCAAATTTCATCCAAATCCGTTCAATAGTTTTTGCGTGATTGAATAACAAATGTACAAACACACAAACTTACTTTTATAATATTAGTACGATAATTGTTTTGTCGTTGATTTTATAGTATACACAGCAACTCTGCGGTCTACAAAAAACTGTCATGATTCTCCTTTTGAAATTTGAATTAAAAACCGATTGCAGATTATTTTATATTTGAACGAATTCCTAGAAGTAGGAGGACATTTCAGTAATAGTGAACATACTTTTTATTTTATTTTTTAGCTTGAAGTAAATTTTTTTCGCGTTGGTCCCGAATAATATAATATGTGAAGTTTTGATGAGTATCTCCTTTCAGAAATGTAGAATATTTTTCTTTTATACCACAAAAAAAGTAAGAAATAATAATAAATCTTTTTACAATTTTCGTAGTGGGCAGATACTGCGAATGGACTCACAAGACGATCGACCAGGCGGCCACATCGGAGACGTTCGAGGATTACATGAAGACCTTACAATTGGAGTGTAACGATGGAGAGCCCGCACTACTCAATTGGACCGTTGCGCACGAGACGCCAGACCTTGTCTACTACCAGGTAAAATCATCATTATCAGCCTATTAATTACGACACCCGATTGGTATAAACTTCGGGTTTAAAGGTGTCGCCTAACACCGGTGGATAAATGTGAGTATGATGAATACGAGCATTTTGTACCTCAGTTATGGATGTTTATATTTTTCTATATAAATATATACTTATATAATATGTATCAAATATATGTATTCCATACAGTACCCTAGTATCCCATAACACAAGCCTTACAGTGCTTATTTTGGGGTTAGGCTAACTGGTGTGAGTGTAGAAAATATTATTATATTAATGTCCCCACTGCAGGAGCACACGGCTTCCCTAAAGGGGGAATAGAAAGATTGAGCCATAACCCACCCAGTGCGGTTTTATGGGTGCTAACGACTGCAGATGCAGCCGGGACCAACCGTTTCACGTACCTTCCGAAACATGGCGGAGCTTGAGTTAGTAAATTTTTAATCGCCCGTCCTATGACCAGCCATTGCGACATTTAACTTCCACTATTGCAAGACCAAAGGCGGTAACCACTTGCGCCAATCAGTTCCTCGTGGCGAAAGATTTTTCTGTCTATTTCAAAGTGTTCTTTTTATTATTCAAATCCACCAAACTGTAAATCTTAACTAATTGACTAGATTTCAATTAAATTTTTATCTACTATCTGAGATTTTGTGCCTAAAACTCGCCCAAATCGGGACGTCTTCTTAGTTTCAAATATTCACAAGCTTTATTTATCATCAGTGCTACACCCACAACAACTTGGGGTGGAAGATCCACGTAGTGGAGCCGGGCACGCGAGTTCCCCTGGGTGGGCTTCAAGCAGGCGGGGGAGTGATATCCACCACTGGGGGAATTCTCACCATACTGGCGGTGACTGCTCTCTCCGCGCTCATCGCACACTGATAGCCACTAAATTAAACTCTGTAATGTAACTGATGCTGTTTCTATAGTCTCTCTTACATCCATACTGATACGTCTTCTGATATGATCGCAAAAGAATAGACATATCAGATGTCGATTTTATTTGTACTCCAAGCACGAACTCTGAGAGCTCCGTTTTCGTATCGCCAACGTCAAATTTTCTATGGAAATTAAGCAGCGCTCCTACCGGACGTTAGCACAAACTAGCTTTTCCATAGAAACTTTGACATTGCCATACAAATACTTCCACGCTAGTTGTTCGTACTTTGGGTACAGTATTCGAAGTTTTGGAAGTTTCCAAAAGTAAAAAATAACAAAATAATTTCGGACTTACCCTAGGTTTTTTTACTGTATGTTGCTACAATGAATAAAATGCATTTTAGATACCTGCAGTAAGAGCGTAGACAGAATGTCTTAATTCTCAGCTTGTTATATTAATTTGTAAGAGAGTTGCATAATTGAAAAACAAAAAAGGTCCCTATTCTAATAACGTGACCCATTATTAGAGACTATAGAAACTGTAAATGAAAGTTCCTTGGGATATTGAAAGAATGAAAATGTATGTGTGAGACGATGCATTTTTAAATTTACAGTTCACTACCTAATTATTGTTTTAAATTTATATATATTTTAGAACAGGGTTTATGTATCGAGCCTTCACGAAACAGTACACAATAAAGACAACGATTTTACTGAGTATTTGAAAGTTACATATAACTACGAAGTTTTATTTTATTACTGTAAAAAAACATTGTTATATAAAAATCATCATCTCACACATGACGAGATTGTGATAATACTGTTTGAATGGGCATCAGGAGCTCGCACCATTCCTTCTAAACGTCTAAGAAATTGGGTAAATTATGTCAATCTACGTACATATTAACAATTTCATATCAATCATTATAAAGTGAATTTTGTGCAACAATTTACTACTAAGCTTTGAAGTTGAGTCTGTAGATAACTATATTATTACTAATTGACATTTTATACATTTACCCCCTTTCTTGGTAAAAATATTGTATTGTGTTCTTCGCAACAAACATTTTTAGAAAAGTAGACTATTTAAATTTTGATGACAACATCCAATTACGAGCTTGTAAAATAGACATCTATATACAACAATTAATGGTAACTATTTATGTTTACTTCATATGACAATATTTATACAAACCCTGTTTTTTATATTTACATAGAATTAGTAATCATATTTATTACTTTTTTAAAAGATTTTATAAAACTTTCTAGGAAAATATTTTTAAAGTTAGGGGGTAACTTTAGATAATATTTATGGAATTGATTCCAGAATATTTGGCTTAAAGGATGTTTACCATTGTGGTAAGTGTAAGATATTGTAATAATTATTATAAAATTTTGCCACACTCGAAACGTCGACAATAAATTGGCAGTACTTTTAGCTGAGACAATGTGTAATTTAAGACTTAATTTTTAAGGATACTTACCTACAAAATTATACCATGACGTGCTTGACAATAAATGGCAATAGTATAATGGTATAATTTTAAACTATTAAAATTAAACGAGTTAATATCGTTTAAACCAAAATATATACTTTACGTTGTTTGCTATTATGTTTGACGTGTTAGAAAGAGTATATATAAAAATAATGATAACTACGAGTAAAATAGGCAAGGCAAATATTCTACTTTCTTATTTAGATTTACCTGTTTAAACTTTTGCATTAATCGCATGCTTTGTGAATGAAATTTGAAATTAATGACAATAAACGTGTATTAATGTAATTTTTTGACTGTTTATGTAAGATATCGATTAAGTACGAAGTAGGTATAACAACATTATGTGTGAGTTAAACTACGACAATAATCTTGTCTATTTAAATAATTATTGATATAATGATAATCTTTATTTATTTTGTACAACATATTGATACAATTGGCTTTTGCCGGGAGTTGGGGAATTTGTCTTTAAAATTTAGGTACCTATACTAACCCTTAATTCCGTAAAATAGGTACATGTCATATAAATTTATTAATACGTGGTCTGGTTACTAAAACAAAAATAAAAATCCAGCGGTAATATTTCAAAGTTAAAAGCTTACAAGCTTACAACACTTTTGTCACTGACTGTACCATTTTTATGTTATAGTTTAATGTTTTATTTACCCTAAAAATATCATGATATTCTTCCCGGTTTATATTAAGTCAGGAACCTAATGAATTAAAAATATTATTTGCTATACAGTTACTCCTACCTACTTCAGTTCTCCACACCTACCGCTATACTTGGGTATTAACTAAACAATATATCACAAGCAATGCAGCATAGCAAGCTATTTCAAAAGACTGATAAAGAAGAAAATTTTGAGTAGTACTCTATATATAAAAAAGACGTGTATATTGTCATTTCTTAACTCGAGTAGTTTTTGAGATTCACATAGGTCAATGGCATCAATCTGTCATTTTATTACAAAAACCACACAATTTTTCCAATAAATTATTTAGTTTTCATAAATGTTACTAATTTTTATAACGTAGTAGGTACTTTTTTTTATTAAATTTTATTACCATGCGAATATTCGCTAGTCTATGGAGGGACTTTATTTAAAATTAAAGTTGGTACTGCCAGTAGTAAAAGAAACTATACAGTAGTTTTCATAACTTTTTGAATATTTCCATAATCAATATGTTTTACCAACTGGTGACTCTGGTTGGAGACATATAATAAATTAGCTAATATATAGACAAAGTTGGTCAATTCTTGAAAATAGAGTAATGAATATTTTCCTGTAATCAATCATTAGGTATGTCAGTGTTTGCCAGCAATATGTGCATGCCAAGTCTTTAATTTGGCAAAGTACTTAGTGAAGAGATGCGTTTGTTTTTATTAAAATGTTATTACCTTTGAAATGTGACAATACGATTGACTGTTCTTCTGAATCTTTGACAATAATGTTATTGTAAGTCTATTTAAAATTATGGCTCCAAAAAAAATATATTTAATAAAGTATAAATTAGGCGAACTTCGTTTCGGAAACCTTTGTAAGTGCTAAGTTTTAAATGAAAGTTGATAAATTATAGAGTAATTCAAACTAATTTTACACTATGTAGTTGTAGTTGTTGATGCACAAATTATTATGTTTATTTATAAGAATTTTATTAGTAGTTAAAGTTTATTAATTATTATAAAAAATATAGTAACAGTGTAGTACTATATACTACTTTATACTGAGCAATTACTAAATAAAAAATTAGATATATCGGAAACCTAAATGAAATAAAATGAATGGAATGTTTTGCGGCAACTAAGTATGCAACATTATTAACTAGGTATTTCAGTAATGAATAATTAATATTTTTTTGTTAAATGTTTATGTAGATAAAAGCTAATGGGCCCAATTCTGGCGTGCCAACTTATATCTAAAACTAACTAAAATTAGATATAGAGTTGTCAAATTCAATTTGGTATTCTGTAATGACACTCTATCTCTAAATTTAAAATTGACGTTGCTAAGTTATTCAACTTAGATTTAGATGATTAAATGGTATTCTGAAACGCGTTCTAAATGTCATATTTTCTCTAAAATTAGAAATGTCACACTAAATTTAAGAAGGACCTACGGAGGTCCTCTCTAAATTTAAATGTGAATAATTGAGGCCAAATATCACGTTAATGATTGCTGTACTTAAGTTTTGAACTTGTTGTTAAGGTTGGATATGGGTTTATTTCGTTGAAAAAATACATAAATTTTATACAATAATGAACAACGACGGTGATAATAATATATTAGCTAGATCTTTCTTTTTTTTAAAAAGGTAGGTGGGTCTATGTTACGATGCGGATTTATTATAAGCCTATTAATGTGTCATGCTTATAATAAATCCGAGCTGCAGCGAGCAGCAACATAGGAACTCGATTTAATACATTTTGGGGTGGTCACCCATCCTAAGATCGGCCATTGTGAAAATTGCTTAACATTCACGATCGCAGAACGAAAGCGTTACACTTGCGCTATTGTGGTCTTTCGTAGGTAATGTACACGTATATCTTGTATAAAATACTAAATAATTTAAGGTAAAATCTTATATAACATAAATAAAAATCCACTTCATATAAAAACAACCTAAAAAGGTAAAAAATCTATGTACTAATTTTATAAGTAATACTTACAGATCCTACTTATATCTAAAGTACATAGTCAAATAATTAACAAGATAATAGAGGTATGGTGTCAGTGATTTGCATTCCAATCACCAATTGCAAATCAAATGTTGTTTTGACTTTAAATGTAGGTACTTTAGACTTTAATGTATTATTTGTTCCTTTGTTTTATGTGGTTTTGTTTCTATGAAGCAGTTTTTAATACCTATTAGTTCGAAATGTTTTTATTTCCAACTTTTTATAAGCTAAACATATTTCTTAAAATAACCAAACACGAAATAAGTACCTACTGTTTGTAATTGAAAAGTTTGTTTTTATATATCCTAAACTGGGCATCTTCACCAAATGAATAATTGGGATGATCTCGCCAAAAACTGATAGAAACAAAAAAAATAAAAATAGGTTACGCATCTCGGATTATACAATAAATGAGAATAAAATCTTCACAAAACAGCCGAAGGGATAATTTTACAACCTCTTACCGAAACCAAAATTATATGTATTAGATAGATACGCTGGATTGGGAATTTACGATGCGAGAAATTTTCAAGAATGGTTCACGTTAGACCCTGTCGGCCGTAGCAGAGTTAACTAATCATCATCATCATCATCAGCCTATTAATGTCCCCATTGCTGGGGCACAGGCCTTCCCTATGGGTGAAATAGAGAGATTAGGCCATGACCCACCACGCAGGCCCAGTGCGGATTGGCGGGTGTTAACGACTGCAGATGCAGCCGGGAGAACGAGGCACTCGACATAGAAGATGTTTGGTCACCCATCCAATGACCGACCACTGCGAAAGTTGCTTAATTTCAACGATCGCAGCCGAATGAGCTAATTGTCTGCGCCATTGAACTCCTCTAGTTAACTAATATCAAATAATTTATTTTACATGGATTATGGACACATTCACACTATACCAGGCGGTAACCGACTGACAACCGAGCAACACATGAAACAACGCTCGAAAAAAGCTTGGTGCCGCTTGCTCGGCCACGGCCCGTTGCATGAATACATTGCCGGCGCGCTGCCACCCGGCAATCGTAGTGAACCTTAGACAAAACAATAAACAGTTTTGCGCGGACGAGTACATTTACTTTATCTGAATGATTAGACTGCATCACGGTGCAACGATACCTACCTAATTGCTCGGTCGAGGCACTTCTTTGATCATTACAAAATTTACAGATCGGCTCGGTGACCATGCTACGGCTGAAGCTCGGCTCAGGACTCGACACGGTCCATCGTCACTGATCATCCTTAATAGATTTGTTAGCTGCCAAATCTAGTTGGTACCCATATTTAAATTTAATTTTATAAGTGATAGCTTTCCCTGTCGTTTTGCCAAAAAAAATACTTGGCGTTTTCTAAGAAAAAATATGATTCCTAATGTTCTCCCACCAGATTTAATTTCTCCAAGTTCTTATTTTCCCCCTAAATAAGGACAAACACTCCCAATCTAGAAACCCTAAGTACCACAGAGTAGGCAAGTATTCACTCTTTAATATTGATTCATAATTTCTCATACAGTAAAATAACAAACTTAAGTTAAGTTTCCATATTTCAAAGATGATGAAGAACAACAAAGAATTACTGAAATAAGTCAAAATCACTGAATAATATATAATTATTGCTAATTTGAGTAAACCGATAATTACCGGTTCAAAGCCTTTACATAATCTGTGAATTCAATTTAGATGCTCGTTTACAGCTGTCAACTGTGTTTTTAATTTAGTTAGTTCGCAATTTCAGAATACCAATACTCTAAACCTGAACTAAAATTAGCTCTCTAATTTTAAGTTTAGGTTTAGAGAATGTAACGCCAGAATCGGTCCCAATATGTACTTAATAAATGTATTTCACATCAGATTACCACAGTGTCAAATAAATGTTCTCGTTAATTCTTACTTATGTTTATGTCAAATAAAAAGTAAAGGAATTCTGGATAAAGAAATGTACTGTTAGGTTTCGAAGTACATTTAAGATTGGTTAAGCTGTACTTTCTAACGCCTTGACACTTCAACACTGGGTTAGATTAGTGTCGTGATCATAACGCACGAACGAGCGAGCGAAGCGAGCCACTGAACCGGCGATGCGTCAGAAAAATACTCCGTGATACCTATTTAACAAAAAACTTCTGGAACCAGAAAGTATAGTTTTACCTTTTTTTTAGAGTTATACTGATATTTAGGGGGATCGCACTTTGTATGTGTTTTCGTGTATGCACGAACATTAGGTATTACGAATTAAGCGTGCACAATGCACGTGTTTTCTCCGTCAAATATATGTCTCAATGTTTCCAAGCGTAATGTCTAAAATTTAATCAGACTATTTATAATCCTTATAGAGAATAGCAATATGAACTAATAATAAAATCACAATATGTACCTACGACTAATTCACATCCAGTTACCTTTCCACAAAACATAAAAATTGTTTAAGAAATAAGTTTTCATAAACGATACCTAAATCGAACCATCAGAAAAAATCATAGACAAGGAAACAGTAAGGCGCTTAAATAGCAAAAATAAGCGTCACCATAACAGCATATTTGGTTTAAATCTCAAATTATGTTCATGATGTGTTTTTTCTTAACAATAGTATCCTTAAGTGGAGTCACAAATTAAAGCACGTGACTGTGCCTCATGTTACCGATATCATAATAATTTCTAATCGGTTCGAAGATATCTTATTATGTTATTTGATACTCATTAAGTAGTTACACACTATACAAATAGTCGGGTTTTATCGATTATACAATATATATAAATCTTAATCATTTTTCTAAAACTTAGGAATCAGACATAGTTAAGGAGGTATTCTGACGGTATAAAAATATGTAACTATTTCTCAAAAATCAAATATAGATACTTTATTTCACAATCCAAAACCAATATTATGCTACCTAGTGAAACGACAATTTGACATTGTGGGTTACCTACAATACGAAGAGATGGCGCTGCCTTGCAGTCTAACAAAGAAAGGCTAGAGAAATATCGACACAGCCGTCAGGGCCGCGGTAGCATAATGGTCAGTGCATTCGCCCGGATAGCGAAGGTTGCGGGTTCGAGTCCCGTCTGCTGCCTGGTCTGCGTGGATTTTTTTTGTAGTAAAATTTTCTTTAGATTTCTACATTCAGCAGTAAAATGCTTAAAAAACTAAGTTAAAAGTAAAATTATGTTATTGCAGTGCAGAAATTGTTTTAATAAAAATTAAGACTATCTATGCATGCTGCCAATGAAGTAGTTAACAATTTAATCCGTTTCACTAGATTTATTTTCCCAACTTTCCCCAAGAACAAACGTAAAAACATAAACTTCTTTTTTTTAACTTATTCTATTCTTGAATAGGTAAAGTTACAAACATACGTTTTTTAGCACATTTATATAAGTACGTGTAAATTAATGAAATAATTTTAAATGCTAATTATAATTCCAAATGGTTTTTTATTTTCTTTAATTTTAATGCCGATATAGGTCCCAGCGGACATGCCCTATGCTAGATCTGCCAGATTTTTTAGTGCTTAAGGCGTCGACCTAATTGGCCACGATCGTGCGATGACACGATGCGATCACGACGTGCGATGAAATGAATCGTACGATGATTTAACAGGGGTATCCTAATAGATAGCCCGATGCCCATCGTGCGACGCTATCAGCCAACAGGCGATAAGTCGCCATTAAAAAAACCGTTGTTCCGCTGGTCCCCAACTCAATTTGCGCTCAAATCTGCACACCCTGGAGTGCATATACGATCTTGAAAAATTCCTCATCCTTAACCAGTGTTGCCCCTCGCTCCTCTTGTCCTGTGCCTTACGTATTGCTGTGCTCGTGCAGTGACGCGCGATCAATTATGATACTCAAAACAGATCGGTGTATTTTATTATATGATAGTTCGATTGAACTCATCTTACAATCGTTATTAAACAATTCCTGTGCTCGTAGGATGGCTTACGAGCTGTAATTAGGACACTTCTGATGAAATCTGTATGTTTGAAAATCATCGCAGGACGAAAACGCATCGTGTACGCATAATGAGTATTGTTTTTCTTTTAAACTATTTTGGAACTTACAAGAATGCAGGTTTTAATGATACTGGTGTCGATTCTGACACGATTCTCTAAATCTAAACTTAAATTTGACAACAGTGTATCCTTGTCATTCTCTATACAGAATGAAAACGAGAGACTGATGTTAAAGGAGATTGCTCAGCTTCCATACATGTTTGGCCTAAAGACCAATAATCATGAAAAATTGTTTCCTAGATTCGAAATTATATATAAATTACTGTAGAAACGAATATTATTTACTATTACCATATACACTGAACATATTAAAATAATAAAAAACAAATAAGTTATATAGTAAACTAGGGAAATCAAGCCAAGTACCGAAATTATGGATTACATTCAGGTATATAGAGCATGTAGACTAACAGATAGTTGCCTGTTTTCAAAGTTAATGCATAAGAGTAACTTTTAAAATCAGGTGTCATTTCCAGTTATTATAAGG